AATGTTTGGGGGCTCTTCAACCCTGAAGTTCTTAGCTTGAGAACTTGCTATGAGCTAGATGGTAAGGAGATACAGAGAAGCAAAAGTTCTGGTTCCCCGCTTACAGAGCTCCTAGTCTGGTAAGAGAGCTGAGACGTATGCTGTGTTAGCAGAAACACAGGCACTGTGAAGGAAGAACCATGGGGTAGTTTTGAGAAGAGGCAAACACCCCAGCTGCAGTAATAAGAAGAGTCTTTTTGTATTGTGTAGGTGGCATTTTCCCTAAGTTTTCATCACTTCCTATTCCCTGAAAGAGGAATCCTCTGGCCTCACCTTTCTCAAGGTTCTCAGGGAGCCCTGCTGGGAGACTACACCCCTTATAAGCTGAAGAGAGTGGCTGCAGGGCTGGGTGCTGTCTTCTCTGTTCCTTTGTTAAATGTGCCTTCTCCTTCCAGCCACTGTCAGACCACGGAATGATGTGGCCCACAAGCAGCTCTCAGCTTTTGGAGAGTATGTGGCTGAAATCCTGCCCAAATATGTCCAACAAGTTCAGGTAATATTCACTACTGTTGTTTGGTCCGGGAAAGAACCATGTTCTCAGGGCTTGGGGAGTGGGCAGCCTGGTATCAAAGAAACCACAGACTCCTCCATCCCAACTTGGGCTTCTTTCTCTGCCTGAAACCAGGAGAATCCAGCTGAACGTAGCTGCTCCCTCGGGAGCTTTCTGCTCTCTTTTCTCTCCCATTCCCTGTCTGCAGGTGTCCTGCTTCAATGAGTTAGAGATCTGTATCCATCCTGAGGGGGTCATCCCAGTGCTCACTTTCCTCAGGGATCACACCAACGCACAATTCAAATCCTTGGCTGACTTGACGGCAGTGGACATCCCCACCCGGCAGAACCGTTTTGAGGTCAGTCACAAGATTTGAGAAGGTATGGAGAGTAAAAGAGAGGGGACAGAACAGTTTTAGGGTGACAGCTACCAGTGGGAACCATAGCCTCCTTAGTTTCAGTTAGTTTCAGTTAGGGTCAAATAATACAACACAGCAGTTAAACCAGGGCCTCAGAATCAGGCAGACCTCGAGTTAGAACCCTGGCTCTGCCACTAACAGGCTGTGTGACTTCAAACATTTTGTTTAATTTTTCTGAGTTTTAGTTTTCTTTTTTTATAATTTTATTTATTTATTTTTCTCCCAAAGCCCCAGTAGATAGTTGTATGTCATAGTTGCACATCCTTCTAGTTGCTCTATGTGGGACGCGGCCTCAGCATGGCCGGAGAAATGGTGCGTCGTGTGCGCCCGGGATCCGAACCCGGGCCGCCACCAGCGGAGCGCACGCACTTAACCGTTAAGCCATGGGGCCAGCTGTGAGTTTTAGTTTTCTTATGTGCAAAGTAAGTATGCAGTTGTCCGTACCTCATAGGGTGGTTGTGGAGGAGTAAATGAGGTAGTACAGGTAGATTGCTAGCACACAATACATTTAGCTATTGATATTTACTGATCATCTATTGTTGGCCAGATCCTGGCATCAAGAGAGAAGTAACACCCAATACCTGCCCTCCCGGAGTCTCCCACACTCTAGTAAGGGAGAAGGACATGTGAACATCTTATTGTAATAAAACATAACACAGGGGATGATAGAGAGATGCTGTCAGAGCACAGGAGGGGCACTTAGCCCCGTCTGGGATGCTCCTTTGAAGGGAGAAAGAACATTTGTGCTGAATCTTAATGAAAACCAGGAGACCAGGAATTAGCCCAGTTAGGATCAGGGCAAGGGGAGGGGAGGGTCAGGAGACATCCCAGACAAAGGGAGTAGCATGAACAAAGACGAGCATGTGACATGCTGGGCTACCATGTGGCTTAGGCCTTTGGAAGTAGTTGTTAAGTATAGGAGGATCTTAAGGTTTTGAGCTTCAGGATAGAAGGCAGGTTCACAGGGTGGAACCCTAACCTACCCTATATCCTCATCATTGATGCTCACCCTCAGGGACTCCCACCCCAGACCCCTCAGCGTGTGGCCATCCTGGTCCTCCAGCTCCCTGTGTTCTCCCTAGATTGTTTACAACCTGCTCTCCCTGCGCTTCAACTCCCGGATCCGTGTGAAGACCTACACAGATGAGCTGACGCCCGTCGAGTCCGTTGTCTCTGTGCACAAGGCAGCCAACTGGTATGAGAGGGAGGTGAGTTACTGGACATGGTGGGCCAGAGTTGGGGAACTGTTTGAAACTACTGGATGCAGTGCAGCCCCTCAACCTAGTGTTGGCTGTGATGGACTGGTTGCCTGAGGGCCTCCTTTTTCTAGATCTGGGACATGTTTGGAGTCTTCTTTGCTAATCACCCTGACCTAAGAAGGATCCTGACAGACTATGGCTTCGAGGGACACCCTTTCCGGAAAGACTTCCCCCTGTCTGGCTATGTGGAGGTAGGAGCCTTGGAACTGGGGCAGCAGCCACAGGGAGGGACTGGCAGGGAACCTAGGGGATCCTGGGTGTGGCAGGAAATATGGTCTGTGGATGGTGGTGGTTTAGGAGCGTTTGCTCTGATTCAAATCTTAGCTCCACTTGTGTAATCTAGGGCAAGTTACTTGGTTTCTCTCTGACACAGTTTTCTCATCTGCAAAGTGGGAACAATAATAGTACTTAGCTTATAGATTTGTGGTGAGCTAAATGATGTGTGTGTAAAGCCTGGTGTATTGTAAATGTTCAGTTGATGTTAACCATTATTGTAATGGTCATTTTAATGACCAAGGTAGTCTTGAGGACACACTTAGTCTGTCCCCAAGGTCTGAAAGTGGAGTGTCATTTTATCCTGCCCTGGATCTTGGAGAAGGCAGCTGACAGGGAAGACACTAAATGTTGAGCCCTTGAAAATGGCCAGAGGCAGAAGCGGTAACATGACTAGAAGGGCCTTATAAAAATTTCAGTGCTTTCCTTTACCACCCGTGTGCTGCAGGTTATTAGCCGGAAGATGGTCTATTGTATACATACACACCTGATTTTGTAGCAAAGTAACTTTTTGGAAATGTTGTGATAGTGGCAATCCAGCGCTTCTCTTCAGTGCCCAAGAGCTCCTGTTTTCTTAGTGTTGAGCATGGTCCCATTGCCAGCACCTGTTTATCTTCACCTTATCCAGCTGATCCTCCAATAACAAGAAAAGCCATGCTAAAGCCACTACCTTGCATCTCAATGGTGATAATGCCAAGGCCACAGGACCTGAACTTGAGTGCTTGCCAGTTTAGATTTAACTCTTTTCAGCCACTGACTTGCTCCCTAATCCTGGCAGATGCTTACCATTACCTTATAAGAGCGTGTGGATGAGTGAGCAAAGTCAGTTCTGCTAGAAAAGGGGCTCAGAGCTCATGACGTGGGGATGGTGGGCAGGGGAGCTTAACTAGTAGTGGCAGGGCATGAGGTGGAGGCCATTTTGGACTGTGGTTGGGATGTGACCTGATGGGTAACACAGATGTGGATAGAGACTTACTGACAGTGGCTGGGACAGGAGTCAAGGTCAGAGAAGTAAAGGGGAAGTTACCCAGGGCTTTGGGAAAGTGGGCTCCTCAGTGGCCGTAACAAGGTCTTGCTCAGTGCTCAAGCCTGCCTTTTCTTCTGCAGCTACGCTATGATGATGAGGTGAAGCGTGTGGTGGCCGAGCCGGTGGAGCTGTCCCAAGAGTTCCGCAAGTTTGACCTCAACAGCCCATGGGAAGCTTTCCCTGCCTATCGCCAGCCCCCTGAGAGTCTCAAGCTTGAAGCCGGAGACAAGAAACCTGAAACCAAGTAGCTCCAGGGAAGGCATGTGGATCCTAGACAGCGCCTTATCTATAATTGATTGTCCATGTAAATAAAATCCTACTTAGACTCACCACTTCCTGTGTGCTTATCACGGGGAGAAGTGAAGCTGACTCAGGAGAGAGATGCAGGCAGGGGTTTTTCCCCCCCGCTCCCTTAGACTCTGCCAAACGGGGAGTCTTATTTTAATGGGACTAAACGGTGCAGTTGCAGACATGGTGACCTGCAGGCCTGGATGTACTTCTGAAAGAGGGATTCTGGAGCTGAAATTCAAAGTTCTTATGGTCCACAGGGCTCAGGATGGGTGTGGCATGGTCTCTCCTGAGAACTGGAGGGGTCTCAACTGCTGGAGGAAGCCCTTCCTCACAGCAGACTGTCTGGTGGCAGCTGATGGAACCAGGGAAACCCCCACCCACCCTCATCGCATCCAAACATCCACAGGGTTCCATGAGCCAACAGGAAGGGCCACAGCTCATTTCTGAGTCTTGACCCCTGCATCCTGCTCCCCGCGACCTGACAGCCCATCACGCTTGGGCTAAGGGAATCTTCCTGGACTCTGACCTGAGCTGAGAATGTTGTCAGCAAGCAAAGGTCCCAGGGCAGGGGCAAAAGACACTCAGGAGCTGCAGACCTGTCTGTTTTCCAGGGGACAGGACTCCTTACCCCTGCCTGTCTGGGGTCTGTTCAGCTGCTGGTCGAGTGCCTGAGGTGGAAGTGCTCGCCTCTGCCTGTCTGTTGGGCCGCCCAGCCAGCCCGCCCACCATTTGGAGGGCTGGCTGATGCTCTTGGCTGCTGAGGGGCTCCCTGGAGGCTGGGCTGGGCTGGGTGTCAGGGGCTGGGCTCAGCTGCAGGATGTTTTAGGGGTGAGGACAGATAGTAAGGTAGCATTACTGCCTGGGCTCTTTCCTACCTCTTGGGAGGGCCAAGCTAGAGCTATTTGCTACCGAACACCTTTTTTTAATTAACTAAACATCCCTCCCATCTGGGCAGGAACAGGCTGATGGCCTGACAAGCAGGGAGCCAGACTCCTACTGCCAACAACCAAAGATTCCACATTTCTATGGGATGGAAAGAGCCCCTGGAAGCCAGAGCTAGCCCCTCCCTGTTTAGCAGTGAAGACTGACACCAAAAGCAGGGAACGCCGGAGAGCAGCCTGCAGTGGAAAGTTGGAGCTGTGGTGTGTGGCAGGCGATACGGCAGCAGAGAGAGAGTAAGACTCTTACTCTCCCTCTGAGCAGCTAGGGAGACTAAGACTCAGGACGTGGTGCGGCATGGCTGGGACAATGCAGCTCCTGGCTTGGCTAATGGTAGCCATTTGCCTCCTCCCAGGGGTGACTACAACCCGGCACTATGCAGGTACTGGGGCTTCAGGGTGGGGTGGATGGGAGCCAAGGAAAGCTCCCAGTTGATAGCAATTATAGTTGGTTCTATCTGAGCCTAGCAGGGCCTAGGTAGGAACTGTGGGTATGGTAGGTACCAGGCTCACCTGTGCCACGGGGGTGGGGGTGGGGGGGTGGAGTGTAATAGTGTGGGTCCCACCTCCACAACCAGACAGGTCCAAGTGAAGCAAAGGGAGACGGCCCTAGGTGCCCTCAACACTGGCCCTAGACAGAGCTGGGCCCTGGGCTTATTTCAGATGATGTGCAAAGCAGGACCTCTTGACCTGCCCCGGGCTTGGGACAGTCATTCCAAGGGCTGTGCAGCACCCCAGGCTGTGGGATGAAGGAGCTGCAGCAGACATCCTGCCTTGCCTGGCCTCCCTGCCTTGCACATGATCACTACTGAGAAGCAAGGAAGGAGTAGGTTCCTCCCAAAGGGTCCTCAACCTTTTGAGAAGGGTCACTGGCACTGTTTTAGGTCACACTGTCCCCAGATATAGGGAGGGGAAGTGGGAAGTGAAGTGTCTTGTGACCCGTTGGCCTGGAGCTCTTTGCCAAGGGAACTGTAGAAGTTCAAGGAGGAGTCCTGGATATTTGCCGAGGTGGCATCTTGGGTTTGGGATGATGATTTTGGGATCACAAGACCTATGCCTGGTCGGGTGAATGTCAATGTGCATGTGTGTGTAGGGGGAGGGGGCATGGGATGGCATTCCTGCTCTTTTTGTAGATAAAAGATCTCTAGGCACCCCTACCAGGCAGCTGAGGGACACTTCTGGGAGGCTGGGGTGTTCAGGGTGGAGCTTGGCAGGGGCCTGACTCCTCTCTGCTGCCCCAGGGCAGCCCATGAACAGCGCCAGCGTGGGAGGTGGCCTGCAGGAGCCAGAGGTCCCGGAAGTGATGTTTGAGGTCTTTCCTCCAGCCTGGGACATGGGGGTGGGAGTGTCCAGAGGTCCGTAAGCTCAGGGTTGGGAAGGGGGACGTCTCAAGCTGGGCCTGCTGGGGGCGGGGGGCAACCCAGCATGGGTCCTACTGCCTGCTTACGCCCCCTGGCCCACTCTTGCTCCCTGCCCGGCCCCTTAGGCCCCAGCCCACCCCTTACATGGCTCCCCTTGCAGCTGCTCTGGGCTGGGCTGGAGGTGGATGTCATGGGGCAGCTGTACATCCAGGACGAGGAACTGGCATCCACACGTCCAGGCCGCCGGCTCAGGCTCCTCCTTCAGCGCCACGTGCCCAGTGACTTGGAGGGTGCCAAGCAGCAGCTGCAGCAGTTCCAGAACCTGCGGAAGGGGCCTCCTCTTAGCCCTTGGGACTTTGAACATCTGCTCCTCACAGGCCTTTCCTGTGTCTACCGGCTCCACAAGGCTAGCGAGGCTGAGGAGAGGGGTCGCTGGGCTGAGGTTTTCGCCCTCCTGGCACAGGAAACACTCTGGGACCTGTGCAAGGGCTTCTGCCCCCAGGGCCAGCCCCCTTCTCTGGGGCCCTGGGCCTCGATCCTTGCTTGACTCCTTCCCCTGACCCTCCCCTTTCACATCCCACCCCAAGCCAGACCCATCCTGGGCAGAGGCTTCCAGCTGGCCCCTGGTTCATCCCACTGTGCTCAGGCTTGTACCCTGGACCCCAGCTTACCCCTCCCCCATCTTCTTCCCTGGGCCCTGACAGGCTAAGAGGACAGGCTCTGGGTCCCAGACAGCAGTGTGAGCGTGCGTGCGCGCAGGCTGTGTGTGTGGGTGTGGGTGTGGGTGTGTTGCGGTCAGGGTTAAGATTCGGAGATGCTGAAAGGGAAGCTGCCGTGTGTATGGCTGGGGTTGGGGTTGAGAAGTGTGTTTAAGAGATGCCGAAAGGGAAGCTTCCCCCAAGTAAAGCCAGGTCAGACCCTCAAACTACCCCCCTGGCAGTCCATGAGTGATCCTGTGGCATCTACAGGACCTTGTAAATGCACAGCACCCAGTCCTAATTTAGATACCCCTTTTAAGCCCAACCACTGCTCTGCGGTCCCTGAGCCTCCAAGTTCCCCATATGGACTAGGAAAATAGACTGGATGTCAGTTCAGTCTGTTGGAGGAGTGGAAGGAAGAAGATGGAGGACATGTTTTTTGGTCCATCTCCACAGGCTCAGAGGAACATCTCAGAGGAGGGAGCGAGGCTGGCAGGGGACTGAGAGAGACAAGCTGAGGCTGGCTGGTGCAGCCCTGCTCCTGTGTAGCTGTCCCATAAAATGTTCTCTTCTGGCCTCCTGGAGCCTGTGTTCTTCTATGTCAGAGTAAGTTGTCTAACACCTGCCGTGAGCAAATCACCCTCCCTAACCTGGGAGGGCGGAAGTCCGACAACCAGGTATCAACAGCTCATCCCACTGGCATTTCCTGCTGGAAGAGGAATGTGCTGTTTCCTTGAACCCCAGGCCCCCAGAGAGGTAGGAGGGTGTTGCCCCCTGTCAGGAAAAGGAATCAGCTGGGCCCAAAGAGTGACGTCATAGGCCAATGAGGAGGAGTTAGACAGAAGGGACTGACTAGAAAGGGACACGAAGGGGAGGCCCACAACGGGTTAGGTGAGTAGGGTACAAATTCCCACCTCCTGGCCCTCCCAGGGCCTGATGGAACCTGCCCTCTGCCCCCCGACCCCCACCCCCCGCCCCCAGACAAAAGTGTCGCAGACAAGACAGAGCGCAGGACCCCAGGGGAGACAGGCGCCGCGCAGGCCCACTTTATTGGCAGAGTCCAGTCGCGCTGGGCGGGCCGTCATGGTCATGCTCGCGCCGGCCAGACGTTCGGGCGGCGGCCCTGGCTGGACATGCACGCCCCGGGCTCCTCCCCAGCCGGGGCTCAGAGCTCCGGGGGCCCGAGGCCCGGCGCGCCGGCGGGGGCGAGGTCGGGGTAGACCAGGAAGCCGGAGAAGGTGATGTACTTGCCGTGGTTGCTGTAGGCGCCGTAGCCGTCGTGGTCGTGGCTGAGCAGCCAGACGGCGTCGCCGCGCTGCAGCGCCAGCATCACGCTCTGGCTCTGCATCTCGCGGCGCCGCGACGCGCCGTCGTCGTAAATCATGGCCTGCACCTCGTCGCGGTTCTTCATCAGCTTCACCGACAGCGTCTTGCGCGGCAGCTTGCCCAGCGTGAAGGAGAAGAAGTAAGCGCCCGGCAGGCGGCAGCGGAACACGCCGGCCGCCGCGTCGAAGTCGCCGCCGATGTTGACGAGCTCCGTGTCGAAGGCCAGCGGCCGGTGCCGCGGCCCGGAGCCCGCGTCCGAGCCCACCAGGCTGCGCGTGCGCGCCGCCGAGAAGGCCGAGCGCGCCTCGGGGGGCGCGGGCGGCCCTTGCGCAGGCGCGTCGGCGTCGGCGTACACCAGGTAGCCGCTGAAGGTGGCGCCGGGTGCGCCGAGCGCGTACTGCGGGGCGCCGTGCAGCCGCAGCCACACCGTGTCGCCGTAGTCGAGCTGCAGCATGGCGCTCTGGCTGGCGGCGCGCCGCGCGCCGGGCCGCCGCTGCTCGTCGAAGGCCAGCGCCTGCACCTCGTCGCGGTTGCGCACAAGCATCACCGACAGGCTCTTGTGCGGGGCCTTGCCCGCCGTGAAGGAGAAGAAGTAGGCGCCGGGCACGCGGCAGCGGAACTGGCCGGTGGCCGCGTCGAAGTCGCCCCCGATGTTCACGTACACCTTGTCGAAGGTCACCGCCATCTCCGACGCGCCCTCCAGGGGGGCGGTGCGTGCGGCCGAGAAGGCTGAGCGCAGCTCCGCTGAGCCGGGGGCCGGGCCCAGCGCCCAGCAGGCGGCCGGGCCCAGCAGCCCCAGCAGGAGCGGCAACATGGCGCCTGGGAGGGGAGGCAGAAGGGGAAGGAGAGGAGGGTTGGGCAGGGGCCGCCCGCAGATGCCCGGAGCCCCTGGACTGGGAGACGCGTCCTCTTCACAGCCCTGCCCTTGAGCCACAACTAGGACTTAGTTTCCTACACACTTGGACCAGCTCGGTGGTTCTCAACCTTCAGCGGGCCACAGTGTCACCTGGAGGGCTTGTTAAAACACGCCTTGTTGGGTCCCACCCCCAGAGTTTCCATTCACTAGGTCTAGGATGAGGCCTGAGAATTTGGATTTCTAACAAATTCCCGGGTAATGCAGATGCTGCTGGTCCAGGGACACATTTTGGGAACCATTAGATTGGGCCCATGACTCTCCTTTTTTTTTTTTGTAAGCACCGCACTCCTCTCTTAAGGGAAAGCTCGCACACACAGGCCACAGACACAAGCAGAAATGTTCCGGTTGAAGGGGCCTGTGGCCCTGTCTGCTGGGTTTACCCATCCCCTCCCCCTTGGCACTCAGGGACCCTGGGAACACAGCGGGTGGTCAGGGGGGTCTCTGAGTTTCCTTCAGCCTCCCGTTAGCTGCATTTTCCTGTGGCTCTTCTATGGTCCTTGGCCTGCCCCTCACTCAGGCACTGGGTCTCTGTACTGATGGCCTCCATCATGGCCACTGTTTCAGCCTTCATCTGGGCAGGAAAGGAAATAGCTGCTCCCTGACCCCTTTCCTGGCCTCTGACCCCCTCAAGGGTCAACTCCCACCCTGAACCTCTGGACTCCCCAGGGGCCCTTCTTGCACTAAAGAGGCCAGAACAGTTGGGCTTGGAGGTAGCTGCCCCTCAGAAATCAGAGGAAGAGATAGTGACTCCCTCCCCTGGGCTTGGGGGCTGGTCATTGAGGGGGAAGAGAGAACCGGGGGCTGCTGGGGATAGAGAGAGGGAGCAGCAATTCCAGCAGGGACCATGAGGTCAGCAGCTTTGTTCCTCAGTAGCGGTGAACTGGAGAGGACAGACAGCTCCACCTGACTCTACCACATACATGCTCTGAAACCTTAGACAAGTTCCTAACTTCTCTGGGCGTGGCTTCCTCTGTGTAAATGGGGAGCAGACCTGCCTCACAACTTACTGTGAGGATGCTCTGAGATAGCAGGTGTGAACACGGTTTATGAATGGCAGTGCTGCCCAGGAGTGCAGATGCTTCTGCTCTTGGCCTTGAGAAAAACGATCTGATCAGGTCCTTAACTTAAGGGATTAGGGACTCAGTAACTCCTACCCTGGGACCTTGGCTGCGTAACTCAAAGGAGTCACTCTCCGATGGTGGGATTCCATCCTGCTTCCTAGTAGGGCATAGGCTTTAGGGCTTGAATACCCAAAGGCTCTGAAGTGGAGACAAAGCAGAAAAGAAAATGAGCTGGCAACAGCCTAGGATGTGTGCTTCTACAGGAAATATCCCGGGAGGGTGTGTAGCTTTGTGTCTTAGAGACACTGGGGTCTGCTGGGAAGGGTTGCCAGGTGCAGCTGTGCACATGTGCCCCCCCACAACAAGGACATTCACCTGGGGGAGGTGGGTGCTGGAATCTAGCCCAATTTCTACTTGCCCAGCTGTGTGGAGCTGCTGCACCTGGGGAAAAGTGTGGCTTTTTCTAATTCTCTTCCTCAAGACCCTAAGTCCCTAGCCCAGCTGAACACTCTCTCCCTCCAGAGGAGGTGACTTGTCTAATTCTTACAAAGGTGCTGCATGGGCTAGCTGACATCCTGGTGAGGGCAGAGAGGAGGAAGGGGGCTCGTCTGCAGTGGAGCAGATTATACCTCGTGAGTATTCAGTGCATTCCTTTTACAAAACTCTTGGTTCACATCTGGTCTCACAGCAAACCTGAGAGACAGGTGGGCCCTCTCCCATTTTATAGATGAGAAAGCCAAGGCCGAACATGGGGAAGCATTTGGGTCCGAGGTCACCCATGGAGCACTGAGGCAAGCCTCGAACTGAGATCTTTTGGCTCCAAATTCAGTGTGCCTTCCTCACCACCACCTTTTCCTCCTAGACACAGATATTTCCAGCCAACCTGTCCCCTGCCTCAGTTTCCCTTTTTGCAAAAATAGGAGGAGAGACAAGTGGAATGAGTCTTAGGATCCTGGGTGAAGGAGAAAGAAGGCAAAGCCAAACAAAAACTCGAGTGTTTTGCCTTCTGAGAGTATGGGAACGTCTCACTCACTCTCACCAGGCTGCCTTCCTAGCAGGTCCTGCCCCCTGCAATCTCCCTGCCCTGCTGGTGCACCCTGCCAGTGCCAGAGGGTCCTCCTGTGTGTCCAGTACCCAGCCTCCGTTTCACCCACCCCTGCCCATTTCCCAGATCCCCCTAAACCCCCTTCCCTGAGCAGGGCAGAGGTGGGAGGGTGTCAGGTGGGCATCAGAGTTCCAGGGAAGGAAATGGTTGTTCATAGCTCTGTCCAGGTGGGGCTCAAAATAGTCATCTTCAAAGAGAAAAAACTGGGACAGAGATTGCTGGGCAGACCCAGAGCCCCGGAACCAACAGGGACGGTGCAGCGACGTCAGGCTACGGGCATCTCAGAGACCCCCTCCCCGCCAAACCCCCTCCCCAGTTACCCCCTCCCTCAAGCCCTGCCAGAACCCCCCTCCCCACCTACCTTGAAAGCCCCTCATGCTCCCAAGAAGATAAGTCCCCCTTTCACAGAAGAAGCCAATTAACCCTTTCTCATGAAAAACAGAATCCGTTAAAAAGGGGTACCCCAGACCCTCTCTCTCCAGACCTTCGTTCATCCATCTCCCCTTCGGAGTAAAAGCCCTTGAGCCTCTTTCATGAAAAAATGCTCCCAGGTCCTCCTTTCAGAGAAAAAGCAGCCGAAGCCCCCGCGCCATCCCCGGCCCCCGCTTCCAACAAAGGAGAAGCCTTGGCTCCCCCCGTCCGCGAGCTGCCCTCACCTGGCTGCGGGCGGCGGTCGGTGGGGTTCGCTC